CAGCCTGTTCATTTTTAAGTCTCTAATTTTCCGAGACACTAGAGAAATTTCTGAGGTTTTTTTCGATTGTTTGCTTATCATGAATTGCTTAAGTAAAGTCAGAAAAGTACACACAATGATAATAATAAAAGGTATTGCTGACTAAAGAACAAATCGATCAAAATTAAAATAACTTGAGACTCGCATCAAATGTTTCAGAACTTCAGGATTGTCAAAATTAAATATATATTTATTTAAATAATATTCAGTGAATTTATTTTCAAATAAACATGCAGCTATCACATATATGAAAATTAAAGCGACCATAATCTTTAGTCGTGTAGCAGAGAAAAATCTTGAAAAACGTGACGGCAAGCAAACAACAACAAATCTCTGAACTTCTATCAAAGCCACCTGATGAAAACTTGCGAGAATCGCACAACGATTTAGAAAAATGACAAAGTTCAGATACCCAACTCGTGTGCTGTACATCAGAGAATAGCAAAGTGCTGGGGACATATCACTAAGAGTACATTTAAAACTCCAGTCACAGAGAACAACATATGTGTACCCGATAGCGATGTTATAATAACGTCTGTCGATTCTCTGATTTCTCGAATGGCCATTTCCGTTATTGTCAAACCATTTCCCATAATTCCAATGACACTCAAAAAAACTAGTAGAATTAGACTAACGTAGTTAAAAACATTTACCGACAGCGGATACTCCGGGTCGAATTCTGTAAAAAGGTCAAGTAGTGAACTTTTATTTGTGTAATAAGCACTCCACGGTAATTTCATTTCCGGTTATATGGAAGTGGGGAATAGCAAACAGTTATAGGATACACTGAACTGGAAAATGAGTTCTAAGTTATTATCTTTTTTTTGGCAGCAGTAGAAGATATTTTTAAATATATAGATTAATTTTTGCCTGCTAAAGATATAGCCATATATGTGTTGTCAGTTATAGGTTTACCATCGAACTAAAAGATGCATCGGTCACCTTGCAATACATACGCCTGTCATCCAGCTATTCATAGTTTTTTTCAAAGACTGGTTACCCAAATAGGTTTCAGTCGCCGAATTTACCCTTCTTGGTTATATATCTGAATATATGCCCAACACTAAAAATAGAATAACGTAGGTAATTAAATTTTTAAAGTGATGATTTTTGGTGATTAAAATATGATTTTTCTCCAAATGAAATTTTCCTTGAAACGCCTTTAGGTCTATAGGTACTGTAAGTTTATATTTTAAATGTAAATGAAAATCATTTTAAATCTTTTACCCTAAGAAATGCTCTCAAAAACAAGTCAGGTATTCTAGTTTTTAGCAAGAATGAGTAATATACACTATTTGTTACATTTATGTTAGATGTTCTCAATTAGTCCTGCTATTTAAAGAAAAACAACGCGTGAGTTCCGAAATATTGGAGGTTTATTAATCTTTTTACTATCTGTACTATGGATGGTTGTAATGCTGATAAAACGTTGAATTTTCTTAGGAAATTCCGGACAATAAAATTTAATGTTCTGTTGTATGTTGTTAGTTTATTCTTGATTTTACAGCATCTGTTATGTTTTACATTAAAATTGACAACGGTGAAGTTAATTTTCATTTTTTGATGTAGCTCGTTAAACAATTTTATTTAGCTGGGAACTATAAACTTTCCTTTACTCTGAAAACATAAAAGTTTATATTACATTCCGAATTGCTTTCGAGAATATCTTTAAACTAATAATAATTTCTTTAAAGTTCGAAAAAAACATTATTTCTGAGGGTGTTGTAATGATCTAATAACCATAACAATCAAACACCTAGAAACTGCTAAAGTAACGGCCAGGATCAGCTCTTAATAGTCAAGTTGGTATTTAACTTGGCAGTTAAATATAAATATTCGTTTTTCTCTGTCTACTCCGTCGGTCACTTGATCATGACGTACGATTGTATACATCTCTATGTGTTTGGGATGTTTTTGATTTTAATATCATCACAAACGCAAGATACTAGTATGAGAAAAAAAAAGACAATTATTATGTTTAGTTTATTTTTTCATATTCAGTTTTACATAACAAGGTCGCGCGTCTGAAAATGGAGGATTGGTGACGCATTGATGGAATCATATTAAAAAGTGTCTGCTTTTCTTCTTAAACAGAAGCAACGCACGGGAAAGGTAGCTAGTTATAATGATAACAGATAATGTTATTTGTCGATAACAAAAACGAATGTCTAATTTTTCTTTGCTTTGAAATGGAGCCAAACATGTTTGTTTGTATGTCATCTACAAGAACACTGAAAACATGTTATAATATTAAAGGATGCTTAAACTACGTAAGTTAAAATAGCGAAGTAAATGTGTAAATGAATCAAAGTTGTTAAATTAAGAGTAAGATAAAAGAAAAGCTTTAGGTTTTCTTCCCATAATTTCAACTGTTCAGTTTGAATCACGTGGACAATCGGTATTACTTGTGGGACAGTGCAAGTGACCGCTATGTAGGATGACCACAGGCCAATGGACTAAAACAAAAAGCATTAGCAATGGACGGTGTACAAAATCGGAGGTGGTTGTCGAGGCGGCGAAAAAAATAGAGTTTTTACCTTCATAATTAAAAAAGCACCAATAAACTCATCAGGCAAGGCAATACAAATTGTATTTGAAACTCACTAGGTAGGCCAACACATTAACAGAATCACCGTAACCTATAACATAAAAAAACTCTCTTCATAAACACCAATATATACTTTAATTATTACGTATTATTCCTTGCTGTTGTTAGCTTTATTATTACTTCACAAAAGTATACTGCCTGTGGCTTAGGGTAAGTGATAGTAGAGTGAACACATATTTGATTATATTTCTATAAAAGTAGTTCTAGCTGAGAATTACCCCATCCCTCACTCCATATAGAACAAAACAATCTTAATGTTATTGATACTGTATACAATAACCTAACTACCGTTAACATATAATAGTAGAAACAGTGGTAATCGTTATGCATACATCGAGAAGATAGTGAGGTAAAAAAGTTGTACAGGCAGGGGAAGTAGCACTAAAAATGTTTCAAACAAAAGGTATTTACATAGTTATAATTTCTTTGAATGATATTATACTTTTAATTAATAAAAATTAAAATAAGAAAACTATGAATATTTTTTTCTGTTGACTAATTTTAATTATTTAAAAAAAAATTAAAGTTAATTATATATTATATTATATATATATATATATATATATATATATATATATATATATATATATATATATATATATATATATATAATGCAAATAAATCTGTAACAAGATTTGGTTAAAATCATAATATGTAGTTCAATAAAGACATTGTTTATCTATTCTATAAATAGCTTCTTCCTTACCTTGCATGTAACGGCAATGCTCCCCCTATGTTATTCCAAGCCATACAAAATAGAACCCACTAACCCAATTTTACCCTCAATACATCAGACACTATACCGTCAGTGCAGTTTAGAAAAAAAAAAAGAGTAATCTCCACTAAACTTTCTCTAATTTACTCATATAACAAGCATGATTTTTAATCCATTTTTGATTACTTAAACTTTTTAAAGTGGAATAGAATCACGTAAAATAAAGAAATGCGCACCAAGTATACAGCAAGCAATGTGTGTACAGTGGTGCGGAATATAAGTGCTCTATAAATTCTTATGCGTTTGTTTTTTAGAAATCTGAAATAGCGTAAAGTACTACTTCAAATCAACGGAAATAACTATAATCTTAAAAGAAGGCAAAGAATTAAAAACAATACTCAAATTATAGGCCCTTGAAAACCCAAAAATAGAATAAGTTACACTTCCGGTTACCGGTAATAGTTGAATAGTTGATACAGAATTACAAATTTAATATAATACTTCTATATGAAATTTGATCAACCTTGCTCAAACAGTAATCAAGTAATCATGTTCATAGACATACACACACAGATACACACACACAGTCGTACAGACACCATTGCAAAACTATGATGTGTAAAAATCTCGATTTCGATTTTTTTTGCACGATTTAAATACTTCCTCTATGCTACAACAAATTACAAAATGGCAATCACGTATTGAGCCATTGTACTAAATGCAATCAAAACAATAAACATTATTAGCGTCACAGCAAATGCTGCGTCTTACTTAAAATTTGCTATTGGTGTCCTGATTTAAGTTTAAACAAATCATTCAGGGAGAAATGATATATTTTGAGATATTAGGAAAACTAAAATTAACTATGAGTCACTCTAAATTTGAAAGAATTAAAAAAAAAGACGTTGTTAATGTGTATACAATTTCGCTCATCTAACTGAAAAGCGAGTGAAAAATGTTTTGGTCCAGTTATATTGATGTGTTTGAGCTGTAGAGCATATACTTGCTAACTAAAGAACTTTACAGATTTGTTGTCGTTTTGATATTTGTATATTGAACAATTCTCTAGTTTTATATTGGAATTTTCACTACTTTACCTGTACATCCACTTTTTTTCACTCGAATGTCCTGCCGTAAAATAATCGAATTAATTAATCATTAGCTATTATTATTTTACATAATTATGCGAGCTATTAAGCCTTTTTGTTCGATACATAAGATGACAAGGCCGGCTGAGTTGAAAGAGAGAATTTCACATTGAACAGTAGCCGGGTGGTGCCAGGTGTAAGTATATCAGCAGGGCGAAGTACAGCTGTTAGTAATGTGTTCAGTTAGGTCAACGTAGTTTAGCTGTTGGTATTGTGTCCAGTTAGGTCAACGTAGTGTAAGAAATATTAGTTAATCTCGTGGAGGTTGTATTTGACGCGATATAAGAAGAAAACTGCATCAAATTAGAGTTATTGTTTCTGTATTGTAATATTTATCTTGGTGAATTACTTGGACGTAGCCGGTGTGGTTATACCGTGGCTTTGTTAAGCTATTTATGTTGTAGTGTTTTGTTCATTATACGGCTACAATAGCAGGTTTGTTTTACTTACATAGTTTAATACGGCCAGTGAAATGTACTAGCCTAGCTAAATGCAGGTGAAAACAGAAGGTAATTCGGTCTGGTAAATGATTTCATGTGTGTTCCACTAAAATTTATAAAGAAAACGTACAGTAAATACGTAGTTAACTATATGAAAATACACTATTGTTATCAATCATCACATCAGGCATTATTTTCTTCAAACTGAATTGTAATATTTGATGGGTTATTCTCAAACCCATGAGCTTTACCGACTCGACCACGCCGACCCCTACTGGGGTTTAAATTCGGGATTTTTCAATTAGGCAAATATAAACGCTACCGGCTCGACTACGCCAACGTAGTCTTGTTAATTCAAATAGACATATATCGTTTACGCTTTTGAAAATCCAAGTTTAATGGTAGTATTACTATTTTAGTTTTACTTATTGCAGGTAAACTATGGGCGTTCAAGTAAACAATGGTAAATGGGAAAGCTCAGTTGATGTAATGAAAGAAAAAATGACAATTTAGGTGATGTTTTTTTTTTACTTCCTCATAATCGTGCAAAAAATGAAAACGTTATTTTCACATATTTGAGCGGTTTAGAACACCCTGAGTAGGAAAAACATAATTTTGCAATTTTGTCTGTATGTGTGTGTGTGTTTGTGTGTGTGTGTGTGTGTGCGTGTGTGTACATGTTTGTATGTGCTTGTGTCTGTGAACACGATAACATGAGAACCGTTACAGCTAGGTTGATACATTTGCGTACATAAGTATGCAACCGTAAATGGAACTTATTCTACTTTCTGTTTTTCAAAATTCGATAACTTGAGTACTGTTTCTGAAAGGCAAAATTTCAAAATAAGTAAAAGATCTAATCATTATTTTTTTATTAAATTTTGAGTAATTTCTGGTGAACGGAAGTAGTACTGTACGCTATTTCCGATTTCTCAAAAAACCCATACGTATTTATATAGTACTAATGTTGCGCAATATTATACACGCATTCTTTGCTGTCCACTTTTTACGAGATTCTACTATATTTTAAAAACTTTAAATAATAAAAAATTGATTAAAAAGTATGTCTATATCCCGAGTTATCATGCTACGTAGTGTTGTATAAGAATAGTTTAGGGGGGATCACTCCCGCTTTATTTTAGTTTTTTTAATGTGATGTCCAAAATTTTGGATTTTATTTTTTAAAAACTATGCGACTACTTTCTGGTTTATTTATAATTTTATTCTAAAAGACATTGAAAATTTTAATATTAGCCGAATGAGCTCTTTTTAGTGAACCCTAAAATTAATGTTTTAATTTTTTAAAATGCATTTTAGTCTAATTATAAGTTTCTATTATAAAAAAAACAAAACAACCTTCTGTACGAACCGTCGCACTAATGGATTTTGAACTTTTAGGACACGTTATTAGAAAGCAAAACTAATAAGAACAAAAAACACATTATATTTTGCTACCAGGTTCAGGATGGTTCGTCTTGGCATTTCTGCTGTTCAACGGTACAGTAGGAGGTGCACTTTTAAACCTCCCCATCTCCTACCATCATGCTGGCGGGGTGGTCATTGGAATATTTTTACAACTCGTGAGTTGATACTAGGTCTAAATTTACATTCCGTAGGCTGACATAAGTTGTGTTGGCTTGGCATCCGGACATTAAAAACCCCGACATCAAATATTCCCCCATCGGTGCCATCCTTTTAGTAATTGCACACGGAGCAATTCCACTTGTAATTTACTCAAAGTTTATTATCATAGCGAAAAAAATACTGCAGCATACTACCCGCAGATATCGTTCCATAATTTCGATATGTATATGATGCAATAGATATAGCTCCAAGCTACCTAGTTATATGATTAGATATAGGTATAGGAAAATGGTTAGGGTATGTTTAGGGATAAGTTTTTGAGATATTGATACAGTTAGGTATTAACTTGAACATTCAAGTTAGAGTTAGGGAAAAGATTTGGAATAAGATTAAGAGATAGAATAACTGATAATAATGGCGATGATAATACTGATGACTATTTTAATAGTAACTAGACTACCCGTTATCTAGTTAGATAACTGTGGGTTTCGCGGGTCATCCATAAATGACATCACGTCTGTCATTTATCATCACAAAATAACCAGACCCCACATTCAAAAAGACGTAAAATTATGACAAAAAAATTGACATTGACATGATGTGTCTGGAACCGGTGCCACCCGCATTGAAGCCTATTACACTAACAACTTAGCGATTTAGATTCGTGACGTCATTGACGTTTTTTTTGTGCTATATTCTTTTAGTCTCCTTATGAAACGATTTACGCCATAGGCCCTAGATTAAGATCTAGTATCTTTCAAATTAAATGTTATCTTAAATTTGCTAAACAAATAGAGATTTATATAAAATAATGAAGGTCTCAAATAGCTTAGTATAGAAACTCATTATCTAGATTCTACGACTGGTTTGATTAATTCTAGTTTTTATCGTAACTCTTGTTAAATATAGACCCTAGATAGATAAATCACGTCTTGTATTCTTGAGGCTAAGATGCGAAGATTTATATCAAGTATTTAAGGATTATGATAGTTTAATCAAGAAACTCAGAAATGTATTCTGATTTTAAAATGGATTGTATTTTTAACTAATTTATGTTGGTTTGACCTAGATTCTAGATCTAGTTCTATAAATAACTTTCTTTGACAGCTGATATTTAGATTCTAGATCTAGATGTCTAGAGAAATTTATTGTATACTTAAAAGAAAAGGACAGATGAAAATTGATATACGTGTTGGAATGTAATAAAAACAGCAAACGGATGTATGATTAAAGCTAAAGCCGACAGAAAATTAGCTTATAATGCTTTATACATCTTAATAAAGACAACAAAATATTCGTTTGAAGCCGCCATTGTTGATGTAAAAAGTGAAAAACAAAACACTGTTGAAGTGAAGATACTCCTGAGTTAAGTAAATATTGTATATTAAGTATCACAAATTATTTTGTACTTTCGCTTACTTTCACTGGATAAGAGACACATTAGAAACATTTCTATCTTATCATTGTTTTAGGAACATCTATAATTATCAAGAACTATAATTATTTATAAGTATATAGAATATAAGCCACAACATTTCAAGTGCCCCCCGCAGAAAGTAGTCTGAACAAAACATTGCTTATCATTGTAATGACAGATTTTACTCTAGGTTATCCTGCCCTCTGTGTACACCCTCATCTACCTTTCTGATATAAAGGGAAGCAACACCTACCAAGACGTGGTCCTGGCTATATGTGGCCCTAAAGCCCAACTGGCTTGTGCCATTTGTGTACTAATGACAGTCTTTTGTACTTGTATATGGTTTCTGGTTATAATCGGTGACATATGGGAGCTTGGTGAGTTTTTTTTCCTTTTTCTAGAATCTGACAAGCTTGACTTGAACACAATAAATTAAATCATAAAACAAATATTTACAAGACTTGAGTTTCATCTGTAGCTTAATACTGGTTGAAGTAACAAAGCTAATAGTTTATGCTTATGAAACTTAAATTGGTGTAAATTTTTAAGATGTTACTCCAGAATAATGTATTCACAGACATCACATGTTGTAATTTGTTTTAAGTGAAAATAAAAGTAATAAAGAAAAAACAAGGAAAAAAGAAATTTCTATCTATTTTCATTTATCAGAATATTTAGTGCAAGCTAAGTCAATGGCAAATTTAAAGATAAGCATTTTTTTAAAACAGTTACCGGTGTGAATAATTAATTACCCTTTTTTATGCACACAAAATATGCTTGGTATAACAATACAGAATAATATTCTTTAAAATATAACAACTTACATTTTTATCGATTATAATTAATTTTTTACAATTTTTGTTTTCAGTTTTTCTAAATATAGCCCATGACACTTACTGTACTACAAATCCATTTTACATAACCAGAACCTTTATGATATCAGTCACGTCTATAGTCTTTATACTGCCAATGTGTTTTCCTAAAAAAAATCGATTTTTTAAGATATACAAGGTAGGTAAAGTTTAGCTTTCAAATTTCTTTGCCCGGTAAAATTTTAGTTTATATTTATTTGACAATCTTTTTAACTTGACTGTTTTTAATTCAAAATCAGTGTATAAAATAATTGAACGTAGGCTTATTTGACTAATGTGGGATGCAAGTAAGTTATATCTTATTTTGTTGACATAAAACCCTGCAATTTTGTACATGATATCAACGGTGTTAGGTATTAGCTGATAACAAACGAACAAAAGTCAATCCTTATGTCAATAAAGTGGTCAGTGTGAAATATTTGCAAAGCTTAATAAATTGATGTTTAAAATAACACAGCGCAACATTACCCTTGTAAATTAATAAGTAAACTTATTGAAATTTAAAGGAATTAGATGTCAACCAACCTTTTTCTTCCAATCTAGTATCGTCGGTATTGTTGGTGTATTTTACATTGTTGTACTTGTTGCTGTCAAATATGTCCAAGCTCACGATAACCAAGGAAAGATTGCTACCCGGTAGGATAGAAATTTTTATTGCTATATGTGTTAATTACTTAAATAGAACCGTATGGTTGGGCGACGTAGAAAACTATATATATATATATATATATATATATATATATATATATATATATATATCCAAGTATCCATGCTAGGTCCTGATGTTTTTACTTTCAGTCCACATTCCTGGATCGATGTTATACTTGTTGTCCCAGATTTTTGCTTTGCATATCAGGTGAGTCTAGTTTCTAGATTGAAGCCAATATATATTTACATTTCTAAATCTAGATCTAGCTTAAAGATAAATATGCCACATAAAAAAATAAATAAACAATGACACTAATTTGGACACGTTTTAAGTGTGTTTACATATTAATAACAAAAAATAAAATACAAATTGGTAGGATGAAGTAAATTATTTTGCTATATGTGTATTATTTCTCTCCTATTTGTAGTCTTAATTGTAATTAAATATTTATACTTGTTTTCTGAGCTCTCTACGATACACTATTAAAATAAAATTGTGTCCTTATGTTACTAATTTCAGTGTCACATCGGCTTAGTCCCTATCTATTCATGTATGGCTAAGCGTAACATGAGAGAGTTCTCTAAAACAGTAACACTCGCCATGATATTGTTTGTCGTAACATACACGGTCACTGCAGTTCTGGGATATCTTCAGGTTTTGTAATATAAAATGAAAAGTGTTTGTGTTTTTGTTTAACGTTCAACATATGAAGTTTGTTGTTTGTTTCAAATGAAGTTTAAAATGCGTTTTTTAAGGCTCTTGAATTCTTAATTAGGTTCTAACTTTACTTATGATATACTTAACTTAGTTTCAAATACACAGAAAGTTAAAACAAAAAATTAATTTTTTTTTCAGTTTGGTGATAATGTAACAAATGACATATTGCTATCATTTAACCCAACGGCTGATGTGATGGTGGCTGTAGTTCTTTTTGCGGTCAAAACATATACCACCTACCCCATACATTGCTTCTGTGGAAAGTAAGTCACACACGATTTGGGATCAATATATTATCGAGTTATGCAAATTATATGAAATATCAGAATTTTTTAAAATGATCTCTATATTATTGCAGATGATTAAATTAAATGCATACGATTTCTCGTTAGATTAAGTACCGTTCATATTTTTTTTTTACCTCGGCATATAAAGTTATGGTATGATTAGCATATTCCCAGCAGTTACTTTCCCCAACGTATGTGGCGAAACTTTCAGAGCTGTATCCACACAGGAACATTAACATTGACAAGTCCGACACAGATATCCGAACTCGAGACCTTCGGGATTGCAGACTCTTTTGTTTGACAAACGCCGTCACGTAAATAAATGAATTTTTAAAACTAAGTGAAACAAAACTTTCAATTGAAAACTATGTTATTGTAAAAGTATATTTAGCAGTGGTTACGTCAATTTAATGCTGTAATTTGTCAAATAAGGCAGGTCAAAAAGACTTTTTAAATTTATTTCAGGCTCTTAGTTGGTATATGTAACGTTGCTTAGACTATATGTACAAACAATTAAAACGCCAACCAGGAACAGCAGCATTAAAACAACTAAATTCCCTGGAAATAATTGCAATGGTATGAATTACTATACTGATTCAGTGATAAGTAAAGTGTACACTTTAAAATTATATTTAATCAATACTTCACATTACAGTACACTGTCATAGTTTTCTATATATCAGTCGACATATGTTTAAAATCTGGTTCGTTATTTTAAATATAAATTTAAAGTCTCACAACGCATTATCTTGTAGTAATAGATATCCAGGTAATATGAGATGTATAGTTTAACTGTACAGTCCAACGTTATCTAAATATGTACACAGGGCCGCTATTTACACAGTGTGGAGCATGGTGTGGAAAATGAGCCCAGAAGAAATTTTGTATAAAGAAAAGATGAGACGCGTCATAACGACATTGGTGTGGTTCACCTTGACCTTGATACTTTCAGTTTTTATTCCGAATATAGGCGTGGTCATAGAGATCCTCGGAGCTTTTGCAGGAGCGTTTATTTTTATATTTCCAGGTAAATGATTCGTATTATGATACATTCTAAGATAAGAATTTGTTTAAGATTTGTTTTAAGATAAGATTTGTTTTATTATTTTCCCAGGTCTGTGTTTGTTAAAGACGGTGCAGGAGAGACTAGAATCAGGCGAGAAACAGGCTATACTAGTTCACGTTTTAAGAGGGGTCGCTATAGTTTCTATTGCTGTTGGTGTATTTATATTTGGGCTTACCCGCTCCAAGACCATTATGAAGGACATTAAGGGTGTCAAGCCAGATTCGTCCAAGTTCACGTGCAGCTAAGCATAAACACAGTTCTTTTTTATTGACAGTTTTTAAAGCATACGAGAATATACTTTTGTATCAGAATTTATAAACTACAGTATGAGCTTGTGCTAAAATGTTATTCTTGTTAAATAAAACGTAAGGAATGCATATTTTTAAATGCACAAAACTACGCAACAAACATACAATCTAATTGTAGACAAAGTTAAAAAATAAAAATAACCAAATTAAAACAAAATATAATGAAATATAAACGACAAAAATTGTGAAAACACAACACAACAAATACAAAATGCAACAATATGACAAAGCAATGATTTACAGTACGACGCAGCTTACATGTAAACACAAAAACAAAAACGCAAAACAGCGAAAACACTACTGAAGACAAAGGGATACGAACTCGAGACTTTCGAGTAAGCAGTCGAACGCTCTACCTTTTGATCACATCGCCTAACTCAAGATATAAAAGCTATGTTTTAAACATTTTGTACTGAAACATACAACGGTACTGACGTTATGGTGTTATAATAATAAACATTGAACTTTTATATTGCTTTCATCAAACATCTGCTAATCAACAGTATATATGTGGACCCAACCAAGAACATTCTCAAAATTATTCGAAAGTCTTATTAAATATTTAATATATCATGTGCAATTTAAATAAAATAAAGTATAGTTCCAAAAATCTGACTGTTTGAATTTTGTTGAACTTTACTAATGGTCATATGTGTTTGATATTTTTCGTATTTTTGGTAACAAAAACAAAAAAATGTAAAAAGCCAAAAAAAACAATTTATTTGTTTACATTTTATCAATGAAAATTTACAAAGACATGGCTTTATATGCCATATAGTGTTAAAAACGTTATATTGAAAAACTTCCACAACGATTTTTGTTCAAATTATTAGAAAGTGGTGTTTTCAGAAGGTCAATGACTGAGTTTTTGTAAAGCCATCGACTTTTTTACGAAATAAACACACACAAAAATGTATTCAGGTTCTCTTCATTTGCAAGTTTTATATCACAGAATATTAAAATATTAAAATTGTAACGTTTACACAAACAACCTTTGTTGTCTGCTTTTTCTTTCATTGAGCTAAAAATCGGAAATGACATTTATATTTCTACTTTATATGTATGTTTAAAAAATACAATTGCTTAGCATTAAGTAAGGCTTATAGTTAAGCTAAATTGTGGTTGATGCAAAAAATAGGTAGTGTATCGTTTAAATACATATTTTAGGGTTGTTTAAAAGTACTTTTGTCGCTAGGTTGGGTGTCACCCGGTGCGCCCCCCCCCCCCCAACCTGCAACAAAATAAAATGTATTTATGATGTCTAAATAGTCATATATTAATATATATATATATATATATATATATATATATATATATATATATATATATATATATATATATATATATATATATATATATATCTTCTTACATAGGCATACAATTTAAATATATGCCGCATACGCGAACATGTATGTGTATATGCTTTTTTGCCTTGGTGTGACCATCCCAAAATGGTGTCCGCACCTCCCGCCCTCGTTACGCCTCTGATTAAAATGGCAAAAACGTATCTACTACATATTTTGCAACTTTTCGCTTTGGTGTCACCGCCCTCCTAAATGGTGTCACCCGTTGCGGTATGCAGCCTATCCCCCGCCTCACGACGCCTCTGTACACAAATTAAGATAGAATTAGTATTGAGATCAAAGCTAGTACAGTAATCTTAGGTTTAAACAGTTACACTTGCAATGATAAAACTATTGTATTGTCGATCTACATGGTATTTTTAAAATTTCAAAATGACTGTAACTTATTAGCAGTGTCACGACACTACTAAGATGTAAGGGAGGGAGTCGGCCAATTGTGGTGAGTTGTGACAAGAATAAGTAGAAGATTATTGTTTGAAACAAATATTTATCAAATTTATCACAAGTCATCAGACAATTCCAACGATGTATTCAAGTTGAACCCATTGTACTGGATTATACAGTTTGTTTGTTGGCCAGATGTTTGTTTTAACAGCAACTTTATACCTTCAATGATTCAACTCGAAGTTAAAACATTTCCATCAGAAAAACCACTCCCCACTATAATTGCCTTCATCGTTTGATCCACTGTGGAGATGTTGATAGTCCCACGAGCGGATATATTCCAAACTGTAGACAGTCGCTCCACTGGAGCCTGGACATGTACATGTTGTGTACACGTACCTGGTCCTGTAGTCATCCCTCTCACGTTTGTGTGTCCATTGTCCTACAGAGACCTGTTTAGGACAGCCATGAGGATGGGACACAATAACGGTCAACTTGTCCACATCAACAAATCTACTGTATTTCTTTCTAACCTCAGTACAAAACCTGTCAAAAAGCTGACACATCATTTCGAGTTCGTCAACCAAATTTAAGTCGCATGTCACATATCTCAACTCACACAAGTCACCATCAATATCTGCCGAAACCACCTCCCAGCCATCAAGACTGACCACTGGACTTTTATTGTCATTATAACCTAAAACACACCTGGTCTGTCTCGCCTCTTTGTCATTAAACACCACGTGTGTGGCTGTCACCACAGAAACCTTCCCCCACACTTTGCTGGGTGTGGCAGAGACTTGACACTTGGCACAACGACAAGTCACAGCACCTTCTGTGTACTTGTCTACTCGCCTCACCCTCCCCGTCGCTAACCTCATCACGTGACTTCCACTGTCACTATAAAACGGATACGGCTCTTGAGTGCCTGGGTAAAACTCTGGTCTATCTAGACTGGTGTATTTAGTCTTTACCTGGACAGTTAGGGCTGCCAATGTTTTGATTGTCCCAGACATAAGGCCGTCGTCACGGTAACGCGCAGGAAGACAATTTCTGTTGAAATATTTAAGCGGTATAAAACCTTTGTGACCTGGATTCTTCTGACATTCTGCTACATGTTTGTGTAGATCAGCTTCTCCTTCATAGCACATCTCAGCTTCATGATTTCCTACAGTCAAAAAGAAACATACATTTTTATTTTAGAAATTTAAATGAGAACAATTTTAATGTTAACGTACTATTTTTATTTTCATTGTATAGACTATAATAATGTAACTAGAATTTATTATTTATAATTGCATCTATAAGAATTGTCTCATAAAAAATTTATAAATATATAGATTATAGTTTTGATACTACCACATATCTTTAACCATTTGCTTAGAATGTATGTTTAATAATAATAAAATAAGTATTTTGCTTGATTAAAAAAAGTAATATATTACTTCTATTTGATGTCTCCAGTTTACTGTTTGGCATTTTGTTTGAGTTTGACATGGCCCGTGTTACTGTAGACATTTTAAGACTTTTCATTGTGAAGTCGAAAAAGTATTGATACAAACATAACTGTTTCAATGTTAAAATTCAGCTAAATAAATGAAGAAAATTAGAAAACTTTATAATCAAGCTTATTTAATAAAAAAAATATAATAGTCGTATGGTTGAGAGCAATTTAAGGCTTAAAAAATGTTCTTTTAATTTAAAGAGTACATGTTGAACATACTGATTCAATAATTTAAAAACGTACCATGAGAGAATTCTTACACTTTATTTTCCTTTAGAGTGAAAGTCATAGGAACGAAAACTGTTGTTAGAACTAGACTTCGACCTCTGAAATTATACATTGAAATTCAGCTTCTGTTCAGGAATACATTTTTTTTTAAAGTTAACATAAAAATTGTAAATATATGTAAATATATTCTAATCTTTCTGTATAATAACCATTAACAATCGATTGAATTATGAACCTGATGTAAAGACAATTATCTATTGCACACGATTTAGAAAGATAATATATTGCTCCCAATATTGCAAACGATACAACAAATAGATAAAACACTTGACTATGTGGTGATTTTTAAAAAACTAGGATTGATTACGTTGTAGGTCTATACATACACAATATAACAAAACTGAGGTAATGTTAAATAATTTAAATTGCTTCGATAAAAAAATCAATAAACTGAGAATTACCTGTGATGTTAATATGGTTTCAGTGTTATTGTGTGCTTACCCTGAACGAAGCCACAATGGATTATCAGCCTGCCTACAGGTTATCATGAGGTCAGCACTTAAATAGTCTTTTAAAGTGTGCCTAGTACGTTACCTGTAGCACGCTAATACTGCGACAAATACAATTCATTTAATTAGGTCGCTGGACTGCATAGTGGAGCACACAGTTATGAATCCAAAAGACATCAGTTGTATATCTGTTCTCGATGATGATACGTTACATAAATATTAAATAAATATTGCCTAATTTTACTAGTAAAAACTACATGCCATTGCATATATATATATATATATATATATATATATATATATATATATATATATATATATATATATATATATATATATATATATATATAAATACATATATAAATACATATATAAATACATATATATATATATATATATATATATATATATATATATATATATATATATATATATATATATATATATATATATATATATTGGTGTCGAAAATATTCCATGCTAATGGGAATCAATACCGTTCAACACTGACCTATTTTTATCGACAACTTGCTTTAAGTATTCAGCTAATTTGGACATTATCTGATAAAGGTAGTACAAAATAGCTATTATTTTATTAATCGGGAATTCCATATATATATATATATATATATATATATATATATATATATATATATATATATATATATATATAATACAAATATTACGTAGGATATAGGAACATCAAAATAAGATTTGATTACGGCGAAAATGTTTTTCAATTTGTCATTGCCTGAAAGCATTATTTTTAGATCTGACCATACTAGCAATAGGCTGATATGTGGCGTGTAACATATTTTCAGTCTGTGGTCATGATCTAAGATCGATAAAAAAAACATTCGTATTCTAAGCTATATTTCACTTGCCTATTAGTTATGTAAATATTAGTTGCCTATGTCGAGGGGGGTAAATAATAAGAATCAATTATATATAGGATAAAGGTTTGTCGGTTTGTCATTACAGTTAGCCTATAGTGTTACGTTGGGTAAATTATATTATATGAAAATATACGCCTATATTTTAAAACCAATTATAAGCTTTCATGAGTTGTGCATATATACAAAACTCTTAATTTGACTGTCAAAGAATGATATTAAAATATTTAAAATATTTTCTCTCACGTGGGTCTCTATTGGGTTGTTAGAATAATGGCGAATACCAGATTAGCGTCAAATAATTTAATTCAAGTAATTAGGGTATGAAAGGGATATTTTATAAACACTGCTAGATTTCAGTTAAATGTATTTGTAATAAGTTTACATTATTAAAGGTTTAATTAATATCAGACTCAGATTTAGTACAATTATGTGCGTCCGCCCTTACCCCCTCCCCTTCATCACCAGCATTCCTCCTGAAAAGAAACACCATATAACAGCAAGATTAGCCACACCGACCCTTGAGCTTACATCAAGTAGACAGTGTTGCTACAACAGGCACCACACTCACCGTCTTTTTCTTTTGTAGGATGAGTACATCGATAGCAACAGTAACCTGATACTTATGTGCGGACGGCCCTGATACACATGTGCGGACGACATTACCAGTTATTGTGCGTTAATCACCTGACCAGCCTACTACCACATGCCAGCCTACACCCCCCCCCCCCACAAGACGCCAATGTACATTGCCATAAAATATTTTCTTAATTAGCACCTGTCGGAAAATGTTACGTTTTCGTTTTAAAATCAATACATTTAACAAAGAAAATGAACGTAAAACTGTTTAAACGTTCATAAAACGGAGATGTATATATTTGCATATTGATATTAATTCCTACTAACAAACAGCTGTCTGTTTTCACCAGCAATTAAAATGCTTACATTTTTCGTCTTATATGAATCAGTAGGCTTATTGATTTCTTGTGCTATAAATACCCATGGAGCGTCTTTGTTGAAACTAAGCACAAGTCGCACCTTAATTGAATGCAGTAGTTAACGAATGCATATAAAGTTTTACTGAATCCTTGCTTCTTCAGCGATAAGTGAGATAAGGTAGCAAACTGTGCAAAAATGTCTTTTGTTTTTATGACAGCAGAGAGTGGTCGGCGTGGTCGAGTCGGTAAAGCTCGTGCTTGCTAAACCGAAAAGTCTCGAGTTCGAACCCTTGTAGTTTGTTCTTGGTTGGACAAAGGATATAGAAGCAAATCCAAAAAAAATGAAAGCAGGGGGAAAGTGGCGTCCACGGCCTATATGGCGCATAACAAGTTGACACATATACTAAGTTCTGTTGGAATGAATTTCTTCCGGGAATCTCGTCCAACACCAAGAACGCAGAAGAAGAAAAAGAATCACAGCAGGAAAAAAAAAAGCTTTCAAGCACCCTTTTTCCTAAAATCAAAATCATTCCTAATACTTCATTAGGGTCGTTGTGTACCACATAGTTGTGTGTCTAGTGCTAAGTGTCGCATGGTGGTGGCTTACCCCTCACGGTGGTCTTTCACACTACATTTAACCTAATCAATCAATCTATACATCAACATATACTAACTAGCATGATTCATTATTTTTATTACAATACATAGTTTTATAGATATGCATATATGGATGGGTGGTCGAGTGCATGGGTGGAAGAGTGGGTGAGTGGTGGGATGTGCTTCAGAACCTCAGTATATGAAAGAAGTTGTGGTCAACGCTTTGCTCTGCTGCCTTATTTTCCCTTAACATGTGTCAGGATCCATCTCATGAGGGTGGACTCAGGGACGTTGAACAGACTCTGAGCCTTGAGCCTAAATCGGTACTTCTGGTTTAGAAGTAACAATCTCTACCATACGACAAGGCCGTCAAATTTAAGGATTTCTTACGGTTTTGAAAGCAAACAGTTACAGACACTAAACAAAAAAAAAACAACGAAAATATGAATATAAAAACTACATGCTCAATACTTGAAGATTTATTGTTAAGCGAACCAGATCTTTAAGAACTAACTGGTTTTTTTTTAAACTCGAGTTTGGTCTGCACCAACGTCCGCTCATTGTAGTTTTAATATATTATCTTCATAAATAGACTTGCTGCATCATGTTTAGTATTTTATAATATAGAACTGGCCATCAGAGACTGAGACAAGTTTAGTTACAACAGTGGTATCTCTTGGGTCAACATTCAACAGTTGACACAGACGTGTAGAAGGGAACCAGTTGAAAGCAGTACAGCCGTCTGTGTAACGTTTCTCAAGACATTGGGAGCCACATAACAAGGGGCTGGGCATTGTCATGTTTATTATGGACGTCATGGTTAGTTTCTTGTTTTCGTAAACTTTATAATCGCAGGATTGTAGTGTTGTTAAGGCGGCCATCACTTGCAGCTCACAAAAATTGAGCTCGTCTTTGGTGTATCTGATGAATATAGATAGATACATCATGTTGCTGTGTAATTTTAAACTTCAAAAAAGGCGCGTTTTGACACGAATCAGGAAGTGGCGACATAAATACATAGACTCTTTTTTTTAGATGGCCACCGTTTCCATGGCAACCATATGTTAAGAAGAGTCCCTGATGCATGCAAATATTTTCCCTTAAGTACCCTAACTTAGATAGCCCACATGAATAGAAAAACGCTTATTAATTAAAACGCCTTTGCCCAATTGATCAGAGTGGTTTTTTTGTCACATGCGTTTATATCATAGGGCTTATTGTTACGCGTGTTTCAATAGCTTATACTTTCATAAAAAAATAAAGTTCCATTTTAAAATCTGAAGGGTCATTTGAACGTGACCTTTTTAAACTTAAGATACACATTTAGAAGTTGAATATTGTATCCGTTTTATAAAATACAAGAGTTACATGATTTAAGGTAATTTCTGATATAACTGACTTAACAAAACTAACCTGACTAACCGCACGTAACGACCAACCAGTGGCTTGCTACAGTTCCATGTAAAGGTTCCAATTGTAAGCGGAACTGTCTGGTTGTAACAAATGTCTCCAGACTCTAAAGGAAAGGTTGAGACCAGTCTAGGATCTTTTTTAAACACATCAATCTGGAAATGGTTTAATCTGGCAGCAGTTACGTTATTGGCGTTTCTGAAATCATAACAAAATACATGTCAAATGCCAGGTAGATAGTTTTATAGATGCATAATTTTTATATGGACCAGTAGTTTATCTTACTTTATACCAGCCCCGTTGTCTCTGAATAACGTAGACATATTACTGTATTACTAATACGGCTTTATTTATACTCTCACGGTATTAATTATTTCTATCTTGCATATAGAAATATACAGCATGCATTCCCTCTGTTATAAACATATTTTTGTTTTATTATTTTATTAATTTTTCTTACTTCAACAATGTTATTTCAAAACTAAATTTTATCAAAATAGTTTCTATTTTTTTAAATTATTTAAACTCCTAGAGTTAGGTAAAATTTATTAAGCAAATCAGTGCATTCAATGATTTTAAAATAAGATTAAACGTGGTCTGAAACGTGGCCTAATATATATTTAAATAATAACAGTAAAATTATAATCATATCATCAACTTACAAATTGGTCAGAACTATTGAGCTGATGACGTAAGCGTCCAGCAAGTCCACCATCCACCCAGTGGCGGAACTAGAAAAAAAGGGCCACCCCGCAAAAAAATTTTTTTAGGCCCCCCATATATATATATATATATATATATATATATATGGGGGGCCTAAAAAATTGTATATATATATATACAATAACATAATACGAACATAGGATACTCGTTGCTGTCCTGTTCGAAATTTGAAAAAAACATCAATTATAAAAATGTTCAACATCATGTCATGTGTGTAAGTGCATTAGCGTGTTTTGTGAAAAACCAGTGTTAATTAATTTTTAATAGAAGTCCTCGTATAAACTCGTCGGTCAAAATAATATAAAACATGAAAGCTTTGTATAAGTAATGGTGTCTCGTGTTATGTTTATTTTTGGTTTTTTTTTTGTAGTTATATTATTAATTTTCTAAATATTATTGATTTAATACATCTCAATACATTTCCTTTTTATACATTATCATTCTTTAGTAATTACTTATTAAAAAAAAA